GTTTGGCCGCATCTGCGGCACTCGCTGCCAAATCCAGATAGGTGTCCGCTGTACTCCACATCCGGTCTAACGGAGCATGTTTAGGATCACAGAACTTCCTCCACAGCATAAAGGGCTTTCCAGCCGCGATCTCTCCGGCCTGACGCAGCTCCTCCTTCATAGCTCTCATTGCAGAGCGAGCATCCTTGGCATCGGAAACAGCCTTCTCCAGGTCCGTCCGTTCCGCCCGATCTTCTTTTTCAAGAAGCTTGCAACGACCAGCAGCGTTCTTCAGCTTCACGGCCATCTCGGCCATTTCCTTCTTGCTTTGGCAGTGAGCAGCATGTTCGGCTTTCAGCTCTTCAATTGCCTTTCCAGTAGCCGCCATCACTTTTCCTGGCTTGCTCCTTGGCTCGGGCAAGTTCCGCCCGAAGATTCTCCATGGCAGCAGCACCATCTGCATCAAGCGCACACATTGTAAGATACTGGCATAAAGCTCCTCTTACCAGGTGCCGCCGGAGGAATTACATACCTTGGGCCTCGTCAAGCCGCTTGTTGACAAGTGCGATGTCGGCACCTGCCACGTCAAGTTGCCGCTTTAGCTCGGCAAATTCATCAGTCCGGCTTGACACCGGACACTTTGCCACCTACGTATGAAGGCAGCATATTAGACCTGAGATTATGATCCTCTGCGCGTCGTCACTTTTGACAACGCATAGAGTCTCAGGGGCTACTATCTACACAGGGTGCATCTTATTTATGCGCAACTGTCCAAAAAGGGTACATTATTTCGCGTACCTCAAAACCTGCCAGCAAACTCTTGACGACCTCATGCAATCCGCTCTCTGCGGATGAAATCCTCTCAATCACCGTACCCATCAATGCACGGTGCTCCTCTGAGATAGATGCTCTCCCTAGCAGATCCTTCAGCCCCTCCGACCGCGCACCAGATGGCGTCGGACTCGTCCGATGGCCCCTTTCGAAGGCCGGACGCGGAAGGCTTTGGGGGGCCATATGACTACCTTCCGGCCCTGCCGGATTCGAAGAAACCCTCCACGACGATACCTCAGGGTCGCCCGCCTCGCAAGGCGGTACGGCAGGGGGAGGCGTTCCGCTCTCCATCATCTCCAGAAGAAGATCCCCCGAAGACGAGCTCTGCTGAGAAGGGCTAAGGTCCGAGCTACAAGGTAAATTTTCAATTACTTTTCTCAGATATAAAGCAAGGATTCCTCTCGTTTCTTAAAAAGAAAACTCCTCTCTGCTTACGGCTCGGTGGAGGGCTGATCCCCTTGAGGGCATAATTCGGCCGAAGTATCCTCCAACACAGGACCCTCTGGCAAAGATTTCTTCCCTCACTTTGAGGCCATGGTCTCTGGGTCTTCAGAGGCGATCCTCTTCTTCCCCTGAGGAGAGGAATTTTCGATTCCTCCCTTCCGGACAACCTCCTTCGAGGAGGCTGTAGCTTCCTTGTCCCCTCCCTCGCTTTCCTTTGAAGGCACAACCTCCAACATCCTGACTAGCACGGGACCCGCGCATGGTCTCGGGGAGGGGGGCCGGACACCTGATTAGCTTTGCTTTCGCTATCCACTCCTGTTTAAAGGACAACTCTTTTAGGGGCAATTTTATGATAAATATACGGATAGCGAGTCCGGGCACAAAGCTACTTACTTGAGTATCCGGATAATTGCAGCTCAGACATGCGTCCTCCGTAGAATCCGGACACACTACTTGTGGTCCAAAGAACAATTTGTACAGCTCCACGGGCGTCATGCCAAGAAAATGTTGGAGAACTCGTGGTCCCTCCGGGTTGAACTCCCACAGGCGGAGGGGGCGACATTTGCAGGGCAGAACTCGGCGAATTAACATAACCTGCGTCACCACGACCAGACTGATGTCTCTTTCTAGGAGATCTCGGGTGCGGCCCTGCAACAGGGGCGCGTCCTTTGCCGGCCCCCAGTCCAACCCCTTATTGACCCATGACGCCAGTCGTGGCGGGGGACCCGAGCGGAAAGCAGGCAGCGCCACCCCACTTGGCGCTCCTGGGAGCTGTGATATAAAACCACTCTCGTTGCCATAAGCTGGACTCCCCTTGAAAAGAGCCCTCGGGCCATGGAGCACCCGCATTCTTGCTTATAAAAGCACCTCCGCACTCTGCGTGCCGTCCCTCGATCATCTTCGGCTCTACTTTGAAGGTCTTGAGCCATAGTCCGAAGTGAGGAGTAATACAGAGGAAGGCTTCACACACGATGATGAATGAGGAAATATGGAGGATGGACTCCGGAGCTAAGTCGTGAAATTCCAGCCCATAATAAAACATGAGCCCCCTCACGAAGGGATCCGTCGGGAAGCCTAGCCCCCGAAGGAAGTGAGACATGAACACCACACTCTCACCAGGCTTGGGAGTGGGAATGACCTACCCTTGAGCAGGCAGCCTATGCGAGATTTCGTCGGTCAAGAACCTGGCCTCTCTCAACTTTAGCACGTCCTCCTCCGTGACGGAGGAGGGCATCCATCGACCTCGAAGGTCGAAACCGGACATTGTCGAAGGTCCGAAGCGCCTGAAATCTGGAGCCTTGGGTGTTGGAACTCGAGGCGAAGGTTGAATACCAAGGGCCCTCCCCGTGACCGTTTGGGACTCGCCTTTGATCGAGAAAACATACCAACGGGAACGGTTGGGTTACCCACGCCCATATTGATGAGAATCCCGGAATAAGGGGACACGATCTCTGCTTTGACAAGACGTCCCAAGGAAACCACCTCGCTAAACGCGCTGAGGTGGGATAATAAAACAATTCGAATAAAGACTTGGCCGTGGTGTGATGTCACGCTACGGAATACGTCAGCAGATTAGATTTGTGTAAATATTATTCTCTCTATGGCAATATGTGGAAACTTATTTTGCAGAGCCGGACACTACCTTTGTGTTCAAAATCTTCTACGAAGTACTTGGAGGAGGAACCCGCCTTGCAATGCCGAGGACAATCTGCGCGCCGGACTCGTCGTCATTGAAGCCTGGTTCAGGGGCTACTGAGGGAGTCCTGGATTAGAGGGTGTCCGGATAGCTGGACTATACCTTCAGCCGGACTCCTGGACTATGAAGATACAAGATTGAAGACTTCGTCCGGTTTCCGGAAGGGTTTTTCCTTGGCGTGGAAGGCAAGCTTGGCGATACGGATATGTAGATCTCCTACCATTGTAACCGACTCTGTGTAACCCTAGCCCTCTCTGGTGTCTATATAAACCGGAGGGTTTAGTCCGTAGGACGAAGAACAATCATACCATAGGCTAGCTTCTAGGGTTTAGCCTCTCTGATCTCGTGGTAGATCTACTCTTGTACTACCCATATCATCAATATTAATAAAGCAGGACGTAGGGTTTTACCTCCATCAAGAGGGCCCGAACCTGGGTAAAACATCGTGTCCCCTGCCTCCTGTTACCATCCGCCTAGACGCATAGTTCTGGACCCCCTACCCGAGATCCGCCGGTTTTGACACTGACAAGCACCGTCTCGTGTTGATTTCACTTCCCAAAATTCACATATATTCCAAAAAAATATCCGTCGGTTTTTATCCTATTTGGACTCCGATTGATATGGATTTTCTGCGAAACAAAAAATATGCAACAAACAGGAACTGACATTGGGCACTGGATCAATATGTTAGGGGCTGTTTGGATGACTACCAATAGTTGCCTTACCAAAATATTGGTCACGCCCGACCCTTTTGGCCTCCACCTGGATCACGACCAATTTTGGCTCGCCCCAGCGCGCCCGCGCCCATTTTCACCAAATCGCGGGCGAAACGGCGGCGCGGAAATCGGCCGCCAAAAAATTGGCAGCGCGCGAACTGGGCACCGAGTATAAAAGGTAGGCAGCGGAATTTCCTCATCGGTTCCTTCACTTTCATCTTCTCATCCCAGGCAAACACACAGGAGCGAGTGGAGGGCAAGATCTGCAGCTATCGCCAAGGCCGCCGGATTCCTGCGACAATATGAGCTTCCCCGGCCGCCGCCGACATTGCTCTGTCTCTCGTTCTCATCTCTCAATCCACCCACGGTCAGCAGCTCAACTCCCCTTCAAACCCACCCCGATCCCCTTTTCTCTTGGCATGATTTGCTTCAATCCGACCTTTTTAATTGGTGATATGTTGCACGTACGTATATACTTGCCAGATCTAAGTACTTGCCTGCCAAATCCATGCCCTTTGCCCCTGCTCCCAGTCTTAGATCTCCATATGTAGCATCCGTGAAGTTATAAGGCAGCCAAGACACTAGAAATTAGGACATGAGAAGGATATTTGACATAGAGCTAGTTATGAGTCCATATGACCTTTGTTTTTAGAACATTGTTGTCCATAAATTTCTTAGGAGCCGACTGGACATACATGCTTAATTGTTGATTGTGACTTATTATCTTTGTCTCTTATTTCGGATTCACAAATAGTCAAGCACATATCTGTATTTTTTGTTAATGATTTAGGTGGATCTTTTTATAAGTTACTCATCACTATTATTAGTTATAAGCAGCTCTGATTTTGTACAATGTAAATATGATTTAGATCATTCATATTAATGTACTTGTTATATTGACCCAGATGGACTTGGATCAGCAAAGATATTATTATCTCACCATGTTGTGGCGGAGAACTCTGTCTGTCATTGTTCTTCTCTTGGCTCTTTGGTATAGAAACAAAGATGGTAGAAAATTTAGAAGTGGAGGAAGAAAGTATGGTCCACTAGTTGAGAGAGACATCTACAGAACTAATGTCCTGGTTAGGCTAATTGACACATCCGATGCAATATGTATCAAGCAACTGCGGATGTCTCGAGCTGTGTTTTACAAGCTATGCATTAGGCTCAGGCAGAAAAAGTTGTTAATTGATACACTACATGTTTCAGTAGAGGAACAAGTAGCAATGTTCCTATACATGATCGGTCAGCATCACACAAATTCATCCATTGGATTTTGGTTCTGGAGATCTAGTGAAACAGTGAGCAGATATTTCAATATTGTTCTTCGTGCAATGGGGGAGTTAGCTTGTGATCTCATTTACATTAGATCAACGGACACACACACAAAAATCACTAGCAGCCCGGACAGATTCTACCTGTATTTTGAGGTAACCCTTAGACCGTAGATTTATTACTAATTATACAAGATCGACCTAACCCAAGCTTGACATGAACTCCCCTTTCTCATATTCATAGGGATGCATAGGGGCACTAGATGGCACTCATGTTAAGGCTTGTGTTCCTGCCCACATGGTCGACAAGTTTAGGGGCCGCAAGTCATACCCCTCCCAAAATGTGCTAGCAGTTGTTGACTTCGACCTTCGATTCACATATGTTCTAGCTGGTTGGGAGGGCTCTGCCCATGATTCTCTTGTGCTAAAAGATGCCCTCACACATCCAGGGGGATTAAAAATACCCGAAGGTACATATACAACGTAACATACATGTTTGTCACTGTGTTGTGCCAACTTGACTTTAACTCATTGTTAATACAACATGGCTGTAGGGAAATATTTCTTGGCTGATGCTGTATGCTGCGAGGCCAGGGATATTACCTCCTTATCGTGGTGTGCGCTACCACCTAAATGAATTTGCTGGAGACCGTGACCCAACTACCCCAAAACAATTGTTCAACCACCGCCATTCATCACTTAGGACCACAGTTGAACGGGCATTTGGGACTCTTAAGAGTCGCTTCAAGATTCTTACTCAAAGGCCCTTCATACCTTTGAAATCTCAGATTAAAGTGGTAGTTGCTTGTTGTGCTTTGCACAATTGGATATTAGAAAATGGTCCAGATGATTATGTTGTGGATGAGGTGACATGGTATGCCAATCTCCCTAGGAGTACTGGGCGGGTTCGTGATCAAGAGGCTGACATACGTGAGTGGGCTGCCAAGCGAGATTTAATCGCTCAGCAAATGTGGACAGATAGAGAGAGTGCACGTGACAATGAGGCTGATGCTATCCCAGCTTAGTATCTTTGATGTATTTCCATGTGATGGAACATTTGAAGGATGTACTGTACACTGTACCTTTGATGTATTTCCATGTGAGGGAACATTTGAAGGATGTATTGTACCTTTGATGTATTTCCATGTGAGGGAACATTTGAAGGATGTGTTGTACCTTTGATGTATTTCCATGCGAGGGAAAAATTGAACGATGTAGTGTTTCTATTTTAATGACTTTGTGTAAATTATTGTATTCTTGTAATATTGTTTGACTTATTTCAATTTAATCTGGTCTCTCTGTCCTATTAAATAGGTTTAGTTTTGTCCTGCTGTAAGTTGGATCTGTGATGTTTCATGTTCGTATGCTGACATTTTTTTGAGGGTTTTTGCTTCTAACTCACTTTCTTAATAACTAGTTTGCAATGGTGACCTTTCTGTAGGTCATGGGGAAGCAAAAGCTCACTCTGAAGACCGAGGAGGACTCCAATCCTCGTGATAAGTACATAACCTGGACTGACGAGGCGACAAGGTTTATGCTTGAATGGTATATCGACCTTCATAAGGACAAACCTGCAACTTTCAAGTTCAAGAAACAACACCATTTGCAATGTGCTGATGCTCTAAATGGCAAGTTTTCGCTTGGTGTCACTCAAACCCAAGTGGATCGACACTATCGTCAATGCAAAGAGAAGTGGGGCTGGGTGCATCGTGCCATGGCCAATAGTGGAAATGGCCTTGACAGAACCACTTTCACATTCACACTTTCTGAGTCAGAAAAGCAAAGAATCAATGTAAGTTCTTAGTAGTTTTTTCTCTTATTTATATCATGGTCTGATTTTAAAATGAGTGGATAGCTGCTATTGTCTATATATATGTATGCTTCATATTCACTGTCTCTTTTTGTGTTTTTTATACCTGCAACTTCTCTCATGTTTTGTGTTCATTACATCATTATTTTACTCTGTTTACCTTACCTTGTGTGCAGAAAACTGCAGTCAATTATCTTACCAGACCCATTAGGTTCTTTCATCAATTGGAAGAGTTATTCTCGGATCAATCTCATGTTGATGGCTCACTCGCAGTTGACCAAACCACTGTCAATGTGGATGATGGTAGTGATGACAGCGAGGATGTGAGGGAACTTGAGGGAAATCTAATTCCAGCAGACAGTGATGAAGCTAACTCTGACACTATTGATCGCCGTAGTCCTAAAGTCGACTTGGATGGCAATCCATTAAACAAGAAGCGCAAGTGTGCATCATCATCACCTTCCAAGAAGCCAACCAAGGGCAAAGCAAACAAGAAGGGCAAGGTATCTAATGATGATATGGTAACCAGTATCAAGAAGCTAGCTGAATCCCTTGCATCCCCTATTGTGTCTGTGCAACCAATGCCACCTGCAGATCCTTATGCAAATCTTTGGAAGCGGATCAATGCCCTTACCATCCCAGCTAAGGATAAACTTGAGATTGTTGCCTATCTATCCAAGCCATACCAAGATATCTTTCGTAGCTATCTTAACTATGCCGATGAAACAATTCTTCGAGAGTGGGTCATTAGCTACTTTGAGCCTCAGTTTCATGAAGGTGGCAATGATGGATCTGCGGCTGCTCACTGAATTGCCACATGGTTAGATAGAGTTTGTGGCAACCTTTTGTTTATATGGCTAGGAACGCTTTAACACGTAGTGGGAGCATGGATAACATCATCATGCATATTTTGTCTATATACAGCAAACTTGGGTGCATCATGTACTGTTTGTATGGAGTGCATTTGGTGCATGGCTGGCTGTTTATGTCCTAGATGGTATGGTAAAGGATGTGAACCTTATTCCGTCTATCATGTATCAGACAATATATGAGCTACTTAATGTATGAGTTTAATTATGTCATTCTGAAGTTCTGGAAATGCAGAGTTTGTGTGCGTATGTGTGTTGGTTAATTCAAAATTTTATTTTTTTGTAGCATGTGATATGTGATTGCTTGTTTACACACAAGTGTTCTTTTATTGGCTGGCATGCAATTTTCAAAATTTTAAACCAAACCAAACACATGCCAGTCAAATGTGCCAAATATTTGGCTTCAAACCAAATGACATCCAATGGTTTTGCCAAAAAATTGGCAAGTACTAATGGCTACAATCCAAACAGCCATGACTTGCCAATTTTTTGGTCATGCCCTAGAATTGGTGATGCCAATTATTTGGTAGGGCAAGATTGGGCTCAATCCAAACAGCCCCTTAGTCCCAAAAATAGTATAAAAAGTTGCCAAAATATATGAAAGTTGTAGAATATTGGCATGGAACAATCAAAAAGTATAGATACGACGGAGACGTATCAGCATCCCCAAGCTTAATTCATGCTCGTCCTCGAGTAGGTAAATGATAAAAAGATAATTTTTGATGTGAAATGCTACCTAGCATAATCTTGATCATGTAATCTAATCATGGCATGAATATTAAGACATGAGTGATTCAAAGCAATAGTCTATCATTTCACATTAAGACAATAATACTTCAAGCATACTAATAAAGCAATCATGTCTTTTCAAAATAACATGGCCAAAGAAAGTTATCCCTACAAAATCATATGGTCTGGCTATGCTCCATCTTCACCACACAAAGTATTCACAACCCCGATGACAAGCCAAGCAATTGTTTCATACTTTTGACGTTCTCAAACCTTTTCAACTTTCACGCAATACATGAGCGTGAGCCATGGATATAGTACTGTAGGTGGAATAGAATATGATGGTGGAGGTTGTGTGGAGAAGACAAAGAGGAGAAAGTCTCACATTGACGCGGCTAATCAACAAACTATGGAGATGCCCATCAATTGATGTCAATGTGAGGAGTAGGGGTTGCCATGCAACGGATGCACTAAGAGCTATAAGTGTATGAAAGCTCAAACTGAAACTAAGTGGGTGTGCATCCAACTTGCTTGCTCATGAAGACCTAGGGCATTTGAGGAAGCCCATAGTTGGAATATACAAGCCAAGTTCTATAATGAAAATTCTCACTAGTATATGAAAGTGATAACTCAAGAGACTCTCTATATGAAGAACATGGTGCTACTCTAAAGCACAAGTGTGGTAAAAGGATAGTAACATTGTCCCTTCTCTCTTTTCTCTCATTTTTTTTATTTTTTCCTTTTTTGTAGGCTTCTTTGGCCTGTCTCTTTTTTTTGGGGGGAGGCTTCTTTGGCCACTTTTATTTTGATAACCTCACATGGGACAATGTTCTAATAATGATGATCATCACACTTTTATTTACTTACAACTCAATATTACAACTCGAGACTAGAACAAAGATATGACTCTATATGAATGCCTCCGACGGTGTACCCGGATGTGCAATGATCTAGCATAGCAATGACATTAAAAAACGAACAAGCCATGAAAACATCATGCAAAGCAATATGACAATAAATGCTCAAGTCATGTATATGATGATGATGGAAGTTGCATGGCAATATATCTCGGAATGGCTATGGAAATGCCATAATAGGTAGGTATGGTGGATGTTTTGAGGAAGATATAAGAAGGCTTATGTGTGATAGAGCATATCGTATCACGGGGTTTGGATGCACCGGCGAAGTTTGCACCAACTCTCGAGGTGAGAAAGGGCAATGCACGGTACCGAAGAGGCTAGCAACGATGGAAGGGTGAGAGTGCATATAATCCATGGACTCAACATTTGTCATAAAGAACTCACATACTTATTGCAAAAATCTATTAGTCATCAAAACAAAGTACTACGCGCATGCTCCAAGGGGGATAGTTTGGTAGGAAAAGACCATCGCTCATCCCCGACCGTCACTCATAAGGAAGACAATCAATAAATACCTCATGCTCCAACTTCGTTACAAAACGGTTCACCATACGTGCATGCTACGGGAATCACAAACTTTAACACAAGTATTTCTACAATCCACAACTACCCACTAGCATGACTCTAATATCACCATCTTTATATCGCAAAACTATTGCAAGAAATCAAACATATCATATTGTCACAACCCAAGAATTTGATTGCAATTAGTATCATAAGCATCCATGCATCATGTCTATATTTGTTTGAAATTTGAAATGGGGATGACAAGCCCTAGCACTAAATCAAATGCAATTAGGATCAAAATAAAAATATTTTCAATGAACCCAGAATACCCTTTAGAAAAGTTCATTATTTTTTATAAAGGTGAAAACCTCTGCCAAAAATGATGCACATATTTTTAGGCCATTCTGGATTTTTGAATAACCCATATTGTATTTGAATTGGGGCATTTAAATACTGTTAATATTTTTAAATGCTCCAATAATTCTGAAAATAGTTAAGGGCCTCTGTAATAATTCATTTAATGCCCACAATTATTTTCAAGATTTATTAAAATGATTTGGGTTATAAACTAAATCAAAACAAAATAACATAAATAGAAAACAGAAACAGAATTAGAAAGAGAGAAAGAGACTTACCTCAGCCTACCTGGCGGCCCAGCTGGCGGCCCAGCCCACCAGGCGCTCTCCTGTTGTCGTCCTCCTGGCGCCAGTGGACAGGGTGCGTGCCCGACGCGCGCTCGCTCCCTGCCCGCCACGCCACCTACCTGCCTGGCCGCCCGAGGCCAGCACAACGCCACGAAACACGTCGCCGCTGTCATCTGGATCGCGCCGACTGCTTGTCTCTTCCCCCCTGCCCCCTCCCTCGCCGTTCCCCACCTCACCGAACGCGCCCGCCGCCGCCGACTAGCACCACCGCGGCCATCGCCTCCCCCTCGTCCCCTTGAGCAGTCCAAAAGATCCGCCTCATCGCCCTAGTCCTCTCCGCCGAGCCACGCGGCGCCGGATGTTTCGAAGCACCGTCTCCGACCCCTTCATCCTCCTCGATTCGCCGGAGATCATGACCGCCGGCCCGTCGACTCCAGAGCCTCCCTCGAGCCGCCGAGCTTCTCTTCGACTTTGCAGTGAGCCCCTCCGCCGTTCCCCTCTACCCCTCGTGTCGATTTCTCCCTCTAGCTAGCTTCGCCGTTGCGGCCGAGAGCTTTGCTCCGCCGGCCACGTAACCGCCGCGGCCACAGTTGCTGCCGCCCGCGTTTGAGCGCGTGTCTATGGTCAATGTGGTCCCAGGATCCCAGAACAAGCATCCTTCGTCCTCCTGTCCACCGTAGCTTCGTTTCTGTCGAGGTCCGAACTCCGGTCGCCGCCGCGAGCTCCGTTTTGGCGAGCTCCGGCGCCCCCACGACCACCCACCTACCTCCTTGGATGCGGACAAGTCCGGGCTACGCTCCGATGCCCTTAGCCACCGCCCCCGTCGCTTTAGCGCAAGTCTGGCGTGTTGCCGCCGCGGGTTTGGTCGCCGTCGGCGAACTCCGGTGACAGCCGACGTGGCGGGGTCATTAGTGCTAATCCCCGCCAGCTGGACCGCACCTAGTCACTGACAGCGGGCCCCGCAGTGAGTCAAAGCCCAGTTAGCGCCGGGTTTGACCCGGGGTTGACCTCTGTTTGACCCTTGAGTCACTGACATGCGGGCCTCGCCCGGCTAACCAGTTAGTTAGAGCTAAACTTAATTTAGTTAGTTTAGTTAGTCACTCACCAGTGGGCCCAGTGTTGTTTAGTTAGTCTAGTTAACCCAAATAGTTAACTCTGAGACTGACTAGTGGAGCCCAGCCGTCAGGTTTGACCTGGACAGCCCTGTTGACCTGCTGACGCCAGCATGATGCAATGCTGACGCAGTTAATCATTTTCTGGGTTTAAAATAATTCAGAAATTCCAGAAAATGCCCAAAACTTCTAAAATTCATAGAAATTAAACCGTAACTCCAAATGAAATAATTTATATATGAAAAATTATCAAAAAATTCAAGGAATCTGTTTATGGCATTTTCATGCATGTTTGAACAATGTTTGTCCTCTTTTTTGGACAAAACAAATAAATGGCATTTAACTAATCATATATGGAGTTTGAAATTGAATCTTGTATTCAAACCAACTTCATTTAATTCATAGCTAGGTGCATTAGCTCAAATTAACAACATATTGCCATGTCATTATCATGCATCATGATGTGCATTGCATTGATTGTGTTCCTTCTCTGTTGCCGGTGGTTGTCCCCTCTCGGTAGACGTTGTACCGACGTTGTGATCGTTGACACTGATGAAGACCCAATGATATCTTCAGAAGTGCCAGGCAAGCAAAACCCACTTGTTCATTCCGATACAATCCCACTCTCTCGCTCCTGCTCTCTTTTACTGCATTAGGACAACAATGATTCAACTGTTACATGTTGCGGTAGTTGAACCCCTTTCCTCTGCATGACCTGTCATTGCCACAGTAAATAGATGAAACCCACTAGCATGAGTAGGAGTTGTTTGAGCCCTGATGTGCCTACTCATTCATGTTTGTTTGTCATGCCTGCTACTGCTTAGAGTTGAGTCAGGTCTGATTCATCGGGGATGAATCGGAGGTGTGTAAACATGTCCTACTATTGAGAGCTAAGTGTGTGAACACGATTTGCTAAAGGTAGCGGTGAGAGGCCATGTAGGAGTACATGGTGGGTTGTCTCATTGAAACCGTCCTCAGGAACTGAGTTCTGTGTTTGTGATCCATGAAACAGTTACTACCACGCATTG